ATCGTGCATACAATATAATTAGTTCACTCATTTTACTAAATTGTGCGCACAATATAATAATTCGTTCACTGGTTTTACTAAATTGTGCGCACAATATAATAATTCGTTCATTCGTTTTACTAAATCGTGCGCACAATATAATAATTCCTTCACTCGTTTTACTAAATTGTGCACACAATATAATAATTCGTTCACTCGTTTTACTAATTTTTGCGCATAATATAATTCGTTCACTCGTTTTACGAAATCGTGCGCACAATATAATAATTCGTTCACTCATTTTACAAAAACGTGCACACGATATAATAATTCGTTCACTCGTTTTACTAAATCGCGTGCACAATATAATAATTCGTTCACTCGTTTTACGAAATCGTGCATACAATAAATTTAGTTCACTCATTTTACTAAATTGTGCACACAATATAATAATTCGTTCACTGGTTTTACTAAATTGTGCGCACAATATAATAATTCGTTCATTCGTTTTACTAAATCGTGCGCACAATATAATAATTCGTTCACTCGTTTTACTAAATTGTGCACACAATATAATAATTCGTTCACTCGTTTTACTAATTTTTGCGCATAATATAATTCGTTCACTCGTTTTACGAAATCGTGCGCACAATATAATAATTCGTTCACTCATTTTACAAAAACGTGCACACGATATAATAATTCGTTCACTCGTTTTACTAAATCGCGTGCACAATATAATAATTCGTTCACTCGTTTTACGAAATCGTGCATACAATAAATTTAGTTCACTCATTTTACTAAATTGTGCACACAATATAATAATTTGTTCACTGGTTTTACTAAATTGTGCGCACAATATAATAATTCGTTCACTGGTTTTACTAAATTGTGCGCACAATATAATAATTTGTTCACTGGTTTTACTAAATTGTGCGCACAATATAATAATTCGTTCACTCGTTTTACTAAATTGTGCACACAATATAATAATTCGTTCACTCGTTTTACGAAATTGTGCACACAATATAATAATTTGTTCACTGGTTTTACTAAATCGTGCATACAATATAATAATTCGTTCACTCGTTTTACGAAATCGTGCACGCATAATAATAATTCGTTCACTCGTTTTACTAAATCGTGCATACAATATAATAATTTGTTCACTCATTTTACTAAATTGTGCGCACAATAAAATAATTTGTTCACTCATTTTACGAAATCGTGCATACAATATAATAATTCGTTCACTCGTTTTACTAAATCATGCGCACAATATAATAATTTGTTCACTCGTTTTACTAAATCGCGTGCACAATATAATAATTCGTTCACTCGTTTTACTAAATTGTGCGCACAATATAATAATTCGTTCACTGGTTTTACTAAATTCTGCGCACAATATAGTAGTTCATTCACTCGTTTTACTAAATCGTGCGCACAATATAATAATTCGTTCACTCGTTTTACTAAATCGTGCACGCATAATAATAATTCGTTCACTCGTTTTACTAAATCGTGCATACAATATAATAATTTGTTCACTCATTTTACTAAATTGTGCGCACAATAAAATAATTTGTTCACTCATTTTACGAAATCGTGCATACAATATAATAATTCGTTCACTCGTTTTACTAAATCATGAGCACAATATAATAATTTGTTCACTCGTTTTACTAAATTGTGCGCACAATATAATAATTCGTTCACTCGTTTTACTAAATCGTGCGCACAATATAATAATTCGTTCACTCGTTTTACTAAATTGTGCACACAATATAATAATTCGTTCACTCGTTTTACTAATTTGTGCACACAATATAATAATTTGTTCACTGGTTTTACTAAATCGTGCATAGAATATAATAATTCGTTCACTCGTTTTACGAAATCGTGCACGCATAATAATAATTCGTTCACTCGTTTTACTAAATCGTGCATACAATATAATAATTTGTTCACTCATTTTACTAAATTGTGCGCACAATAAAATAATTTGTTCACTCATTTTACGAAATCGTGCATACAATATAATAATTCGTTCACTCGTTTTACTAAATCATGAGCACAATATAATAATTTGTTCACTCGTTTTACTAAATTGTGCGCACAATATAATAATTCGTTCACTCGTTTTACTAAATCGTGCGCACAATATAATAATTCGTTCACTCGTTTTACTAAATTGTGCACACAATATAATAATTCGTTCACTCGTTTTACTAATTTGTGCACACAATATAATAATTTGTTCACTGGTTTTACTAAATCGTGCATAGAATATAATAATTCGTTCACTCGTTTTACGAAATCGTGCACGCATAATAATAATTCGTTCACTCGTTTTACTAAATCGTGCATACAATATAATAATTTGTTCACTCATTTTACTAAATTGTGCGCACAATAAAATAATTTGTTCACTCATTTTACGAAATCGTGAATACAATATAATAATTCGTTCACTCGTTTTACTAAATCATGCGCACAATATAATAATTTGTTCACTCGTTTTACTAAATCGCGTGCACAATATAATAATTCGTTCACTCGTTTTACTAAATTGTGCGCACAATATAATAATTCGTTCACTGGTTTTACTAAATTCTGCGCACAATATAGTAGTTCATTCACTCGTTTTACTAAATCGTGCGCACAATATAATAATTCGTTCACTCGTTTTACTAAATCGTGCACGCATAATAATAATTCGTTCACTCGTTTTACTAAATCGTGCATACAATATAATAATTTGTTCACTCATTTTACTAAATTGTGCGCACAATAAAATAATTTGTTCACTCATTTTACGAAATCGTGCATACAATATAATAATTCGTTCACTCGTTTTACTAAATCATGAGCACAATATAATAATTTGTTCACTGGTTTTACTAAATCGTGCATAGAATATAATAATTCGTTCACTCGTTTTACGAAATCGTGCACGCATAATAATAATTCGTTCACTCGTTTTACTAAATCGTGCATACAATATAATAATTCGTTCACTGGTTTTACTAAATCATGAGCACAATATAATAATTTGTTCACTCGTTTTACTAAATCGCGTGCACAATATAATAATTCGTTCACTCGTTTTACTAAATTGTGCGCACAATATAATAATTTGTTCACTGGTTTTACTAAATTCTGCGCACAATATAGTAATTCATTCACTCGTTTTACTAAATCATGAGCACAATATAATAATTTGTTCACTCGTTTTACTAAATCGTGCGCACAATATAATAATTCATTTACTCGTTTTACGAAATCGTGCATAGAATATAATAATTCGTTCATTCATTTTACTAAATTGTGCGCACAATTTAATAATTCGTTTACACGTTTTTCTAAATCGTGCATACAATATAATAATTCGTTTACTTGTTTATGAAATCGTGCATAGAATATAATAATTTGTTCATTCATTTTACTAAATCGTGCATACAATATAATAATTCGTTTACACGTTTTTCTAAATCGTGCATACAATATAATAATTCGTTCACTCGTTTTACTAAATTGTGCAGACAATATAATAATTCGTTCACTCGTTTTACTAAATTGTGCGCACAATATAATAATTCGTTCACTCGTTTTACGAAATTGTGCAGACAATATAATAATTTGTTCACTCATTTTACTAAATTGTGCGCACAATAAAATAATTTGTTCACTCATTTTACGAAATCGTGCATACAATATAATAATTCGTTCACTCGTTTTACTAAATCATGCGCACAATATAATAATTTGTTCACTCGTTTTACTAAATCGCGTGCACAATATAATAATTCGTTCACTCGTTTTACTAAATTGTGCGCACAATATAATAATTCGTTCACTGGTTTTACTAAATTCTGCGCACAATATAGTAGTTCATTCACTCGTTTTACTAAATCGTGCACGCATAATAATAATTCGTTCACTCGTTTTACTAAATCGTGCATACAATATAATAATTCGTTCACTCGTTTTACTAAATTGTGCGCACAATATAATAATTCGTTCACTGGTTTTACTAAATTCTGCGCACAATATAGTAGTTCATTCACTCGTTTTACTAAATCGTGCGCACAATATAATAATTCGTTCACTCGTTTTACTAAATCGTGCACGCATAATAATAATTCGTTCACTCGTTTTACTAAATCGTGCATACAATATAATAATTTGTTCACTCATTTTACTAAATTGTGCACACAATAAAATAATTTGTTCACTCATTTTACGAAATCGTGCATACAATATAATAATTCGTTCACTGGTTTTACTAAATCATGAGCACAATATAATAATTTGTTCACTCGTTTTACTAAATCGTGCATACAATATAATAATTCGTTCACTCGTTTTACTAAATCGTGGATACAATATAATAATTCGTTCACTCGTTTTACTAAATCGTGGATATAATATAATAATTCGTTCACTCGTTTTACTAAATCGTGCATACAATATAATAATTCGTTCACTCGTTTTACGAAATCTTGCGCACAATATAACAAATCGTTCACTCGTTTTACGAAATCGTGTGCACAATATAATTAGTTTCCTCATTTTACTAAATTGTGTGAACGCTACAATAATTCATTCCCTAAATGGTGCATGCTATATAACTTGTTCATTCCCTCTTTTTACGAACTAAACAGTTGCTGGTAAACACTAAAAAATACTAAAGTCAATGGGGACTAACACTTGTTTGGCTACCCACATTCTTCTAAATATCTTCTTTTGTGCTCAACAGAAGAGAAATAAAGTCGTACAGGTTTGGACCAGCTTGATGGTGAGTGCATGATGACAGGATTATGAGTGAGCTGCCCCTTTAAGAGAACTTTAAGAGAACGCTGTTCCCTGTGAGAGATGATGGAGTGTTTAAAAAGGTCATCGACTCAAATAAGGAACAAAATGCAATGCAATTTTATCACTCACACAAACTATTCTAATAAAACACTCACAACAATCCAGACATAAATCCATCAGTTTATTAAAGATGTTGAAGCACTTACAGTGAGCG